GTGCCCTCACCAATCCTGGTGACTCCACTTCCACCACCACCCAATGCCGTAGGCGCCGTCAATGATGTAGACCCAGGTTGATGTAGTAGACCAGGAGGACGCTCTGGAAGGACTCCCCGATGCTGATCTTCTCCATGATCCCTCGCATCCAGCTTTCTGGCATTCGGACCGAGGCCAGCGTTCAGCTTGTCCCCCGCACTGTCCACCGGCTTGAAGGGTGAGGAATCGGCCCCTCGCACAATGCGGTTCGCCTCCTTCTCTCCTGCGCAGTAGGGCTCCTCCGAGTCTCTTCATGAGGGTGGCGGCCTCGATCGGAGCGAGTGCCAGGTTCAGGGACTTGTCCACGATCGCTCCAGAAAGGGTTCACTGGTTGCCGAGCCGGCTGATGTGGCGTCGCAATGACATACGGATCTAAGATTCTGGGTAGAAGCCCTCCCTCAACAGCACCCACACCATGATCCAACCGGGCACTGAGGTGATGAGCTCTTGGGCGGAGGAGGTTCAAAGCCAAATTGCCCTCCAAGGTATCCACGGTCGGCACCATGACAATGTCCCGAATCGTGCGCATGAAAAATAGGTCCAAGTAGTCCATGAAGAGGAGGAGGTCCAAGTGAGGTGGGACCCTGTGTTCCATGTCCAAAGGCCCTCTGTAGTCATCCAGGGACTGCCTCACCGTTTCTTGCCAACTCTCCGTGGCCCCGGAAGCCCGACCATGCCCTGCTTGACCACGTTGGATCTGAGGTCCACCACTCTGACCACCTCCCGCGGTAGATGCCGATGGCGCTCCTCCAGCAATGGGCGCAGGCGCAGCAGCCGCAACTCTCCGGACCGCAGCTGGCATGGAGCTCGCTCTGCCTCCTCAATCAAGGTGTCCAGCCTCTCATCCGCAGCGCCCACACGAAGGCTGCCCTCACGATCAGCGGGGTCTCTCAGGCGTCCACCTTCGCGGGAGGACCGTCTTCTCCGCTGCGCAGCGAAGCCGCTAATGGGGACCAGCGACTCTGAGACAATCAGAGGTGGACTTCCAAAAAAAAAGGTCGCACGGTTTTGGGCTCATAACCTGTGCTTCCGAAAAAGGATGAAAAAGGGAATGTCTGTGAGGCAGCGCGGACTACTTTTCTTGAGCCAAACAAAGGTCGTTTTTGACCATGGTTTCATCACGTCTAGGTTTCAAAGCTTTGCGAGCATGGCGAAGCAGGGACAGCATGGACTTCCACACCCACAGAAATCTTTCAGTGTCATTTCATTTCTCACAAAAGCCCAACCCTTTCCCTAATCGAGTTGTGAATTTGCGCCAATTGTTTCGCAAGTTTACTTTTGGCCTTTTCTTTTGGCAGCGTCTTGATTTTGTTTCTGTAGTATTGTTTTTTGCTTTTGCTGCTCTTGCTTTTGCTTGTGTTTCCTTCCGGCTTTGTGCTCTTCCTGCTCCTGCTTTTGTTTTTGCTGTTTTTCGTATGCTTTTGCCTGTCCCGCTTTTGCTTTTGGGTTTGCTTCTCCTGGTTTTCCTGTTTTTGATTCTGCTTCTTGCATGTCTTTCTTCTGCTTTATCTGGCAAGAAGAACCACAGTTGAATGTAAGGCCTTCAAAAGTGCCGCTCCCTACATACCCACCCAACCCTACCCAAAGATCCTGCTCCTTTTGGGATGTTTCAAGCCTTTGTGTATCTGGCACTGGCACCATTATAGATGGCTGTGTGTTTTTGTGGCTACTTGGCAGGTTTGGGGAGAGTTCACTATATATGTCGAAGTGGTATGTGTGAACACGGCCCCTGACTGCAAGAGATCAGAACCCCAGTAGAACTACGGTTCAGTTCAAAGGCTTCTTGGAACTTTCAACACTGCAGCCGTCATTGAAGTTCTTCCCAGAACTCTGGCGTTTTACCAAGAACTTTCTGGCACCACATCCTTTGAACGCATTCTTGCCTTAGCAGCAGCAAGGGGTTCAGTAGCGTGTGGCCACCATCCTTTGCCGTAGCAGTCTGTACCAGCAAGAGGGCTTGAGCGGCTTGCAGAGGTTCACTGTATATTACGAAAGCCTGCCGATAGGCTAGGCTTGAGCGCTTAGAGCGAGCGAAGGTGAGTTAAGGGGGTGTGGGGGGGGAGGGCGCGAAAAGGCACTGCAAAGAGTGAACGCTCTGTGAGCGAACGATGTGAGCATGTCCAGTTGGGCGAGGTAGAGGCTTGGAGATAAGAGCGCCGCAAGAAAAGAAGCAAGAAAGCTGCAAGCGTTCAACACTTCATGCTGTGCTCCGATCTTGATCTCAGTCGCAGTGATGCCAGCTCCACAAAACTACAGGCTTTCAATTATAGGTGCTCTGCTATTTTTCCTCCCAGCCCTGCTCTCTATAGGGCTTCGCATTGATGCACGATACCCGAAACACATTTCAACGCAACCACAAGAACCATTTCGGGCGTCATTCTCCTGGTGTTCACTGACGTTTATTTTTGCACGGGTTGTCAATAGAACACCAACAAGGGGCGCTCCAGAAGGCGCCGCACCAAGCAAATCAAGAACGCTAAAAACATTCAACACCTCATGCTGTGCTCCGATCTTCATCTTCGTCGCAGTGATACCAGCGCCACGAAAACTACAACCATTCAAGAATGAGTGCTCTCCTCTTTTTTTCCTCTCCCAGCCCTGCTCCTTATAGGGCTTCGCATTGATGCACGACGCCCGAGACACATTTCAAAACAACCAACAACCACCTTTCGGGCATCCTTCTCCTGGTCTTCACTGACGTTTATTTTTACACGGATTCTCAAGTAGACCACCTGTCAGGGACGCTCCAGAGAGCACCGCGCCAGGAAAATCGAGAAAGCCTGAAACATTCGACACTTCATGCTGTGCTCCGATCTTGATCTACTCCACGTTGATACAAGCTCCACGAAAGCTACAGGCATTCAACAATAAGTGCTCCGCCATTTTTTCCTCCCAGTCTTGCACTACCGTATTGGTCTCTCGCTGGCTTTCGTCCTCTCCTTTCTCAGGTAATTATATACATGGATTTGGGGGACAGTGTGTGTGAACTGTTTGCTGTAACCTGGTGTCACCTGTGCCGAAAGACCTGGATGCACAGCCTGCATTCGCTCCACCATGCTCGATTGCCATCGGCGAAAATTGCGCCATGCCTTTCAGGGAAACACGTCTCAGCAAGTCACAATCTCTCAGACCTTCTCACAACAAAACAAAGAAATACATAAAATTCCAGATGGGTATATAGGGAAAAAGCTCATAGTGCCTGAGGAAAAAATCCAAATGTCTAATAGCTTTCGTTGTCAATGAGCGGTGCCGCTGCCAAGGGCTTGTTCACCTTGCCAGGGACCAGCACCAGCACGCCACACAAAACGCCGATCCAGCAGCAGCAGCACCAGCGCCAGCACCCACGCCAGCACGCCCCAAGAAAACGCCGATCCAGCGCCAGCACCAGCGCCAACACCAGCACCCACACCACGCGCCCCAAGAACGCCGATCCAGCACCAGCGCCCGCGAGAAAGAAGATGACGCTCATGAACAAAAGATAAACATGAAGTTCATCAAACAAAGATGAAGATGCGGCGCACGAAACGGGGATGACGATGAAGATCATGAAACGAACATAAAGATGCAGTTGACATCAGGATCGTGCATGAAATGGTTGGAGCGAAGATGAAGCGCGTGAAATGAAGACGAGGATGTAGTTCAGTAGAAGGTCCAAAAAGAAAAAGTCACGCAGGGGCCCAGGACGGTAACCATTTACTTCATTATTTTAATTCTGTCAAGCTGAAGCACCAGACTGGTGCCTTCGAGCAGGTGTGCGAAACTCAGGCTAGAGACAACTCCATTTCTGTGCGATTGCTAGATTACCCTTTAGGCGACCCAGGCGAAGAGACAACACGTGCAAAGCAGAGCGCAAAGCATCCCAAACAGAGACAACTGTACCTCACAACTTCTCTGACTCACAGGATTTCCAGCCAGACCCTTACGAGCAACGGTGGATAAGAAGCCAACCCATGAAAAACAAATTCCACCAGTCTTCATCCACCACCGTTTCTGAAACGAATTTGCCCCAGGGAGCCAAGTACAAGTATCGATGACGGAATCCATATACAAACGGCCAACGAGGAACCACGGATCCAAAACTGGGTGATCTTCAAAGGACCTGTCGCCCAACCTGAGAAGCACCACAAACGTGAAACTCTACACCGCTGTCCCCTCTCAAAAAATGGTCGAAGTGTGGCGGCTGACAAAATCCTGAAGCAACGTGAAAATTGTCCAAAGACTAGGAAGTGGAAAGACCCGCAGCCATTGATGGCGCGTGGTCCAACTACCTTCTCTTCCCCAGCTACACCACGGGTGTATTAAAGTTATTGCTTTTCATTTGGCTCACCATTTTGTCAAGCAGCGAAGTTGGCAAAAGTGCTGCTACCTACCCACCCAACCCTACCGAAAGTTCCTTTGTTCGTCCTGTTCCCAACTCTACCAACGTCCCATCATTTGGCACAAAGCCCGATAGCAGCGGAAGTAGGTTCAAAAAGTGCTGAGTACCACCGCAAGTTTCACATCCACCACCAAGCATGTTGGGTCAACGGGCGGGGCCTTGCCCCGACCCGTCGAAATGTAAAGAAAACACTGTGATTCGCAGGGCTTAACGACCTATTTATAGAGGTGCCTTGAGTCCGCGTCTTCGAGCTGCGCTGTGATGTCCGGGCAACGACCCCTGTCGAGCCAATAAGTTGAAACAAAGTGGAGAGAGGGCGATAGAGAGAGAGAGAGGGAGGGAGGGACGGCCTGATGTTCAAAACGCTGTGAATACCAACGGGAAGTCAACACTGTTGAGAAAACACATCCAACTGATTATGCACTCTCCCCTAGTCACTAGTCTTTTACTATTTTACTTCCCTGTACAACTTGACTGCACCTTTTGATTGCTAGGAAACTCACACCTTTTCCCTCACTTCTTAAAATCCTTTCACGTTCTCAGTTCCATTGACAGAAAATCCTGAACCAATTCCGAGCCGCAGGCTGGCCTATCTTTCTCGCAGGCGCCGGGACCGCCTTGTTTCTTCTGTGTGACGTTGCTGGCTGGATTAAATTGGTAGGACGGGCAATGGTTGGCCGTTCGTGGGCCTGCAGTCGTCAAGACTTTCTCTCAGATGGCTGCATCACTGGGGTTTCTGTGTGCGCGCGCGCATGCAAGGATGCTGCCGCTGGCAAATGTGAAGCAGGGCTTGCCGCCTCCAAACCCTCAATGGGAACAGACCTTAGTTTCTCAAGTTCCCACTGCGATCCTATAATAGATGTATGCTGTCGGCATATTTTTGTATATGCAGATTATATGTGTATACTGTATTATTGTTCTTGATTGATTGATTCCTAGGTTGCGTTTGACGGGCAGGCAGGGAGAACCTACAAGAAACCGTCGATGCAATCCAATCACCAAAGACTGAGACATTTGCTTGACTCACTCATCTTTCTGTGAGCGAGATGAGGGCTCCATCTTGCCAAGTTTTCCCTTTTGATCATGGTTCGGTTCAATATTCTTTTGATCACAGTTCTATGAATCTATGCCGTGAGGATCTTGGGAGGGCGGTGCTGTCATGGTCCTCAAGGCTGAAAAGAAAGTGAGTGGGCTTAGCTATATATATATATATAGACAGGTTTTTGCCCGAAGCAGAGGTTTTTGAGCCAGCATGGGTTCAAGTACTCCATGATGCTTGAAAGTCTGGTTTTGTGCCTTGGGGCTCATGCGTCGTGGCTGGTGTTTCTGCAGCCCCAGGCAACATAAATTGGGAGAGATGCGTAAACTGCAGAGAGGAGAATACAAAATCATTACTCTATTGTATTCTGTTCTGCTTTGCGAGGCCTGGGCCAGCAAAGTCCTCGGTTTTTGTTCAAAGATGACTAATCAATTTCTATAGTTGACAGTACTTGACATTCTCTCCTTTTATTGCAATCCCCGTGCTGCTACCGCTCTATTTCTTCATGTTGCTCCCAGGCTGGAAACACGCCGCAGCATCAAGTCAAGCTGCACTCTAATGGAACGATGCTGGAGTACAGAACTCAAGGGGCGGTTATGTTCCTTGAAGTGGAAGAAGCCCATGGCCCGTGGCACATGTCCTGACTGATGAAATGGTGAAGAAGTCTTGGAAAGTTGACGAGTCGGGCAGAATGTATTGTATACTTTCTTCGCCGAGAACGGGTCGAGCAGAAACGCCTAATCCCAAAAACAAGCCAAGAAGAAATCATAAACATTTGTCAAGAAAGCCAGCGAGCCAAGTTAGGTGGGGTGCTCTTGCTGTAGTTCGTCCTATTGACAGGAGACCGGACTGCACCTTCAAGATATCATATGTTGAATATACTGTATGTCTTCCCAGCTGAGAAGCTCTGCGGTAGAGCCACGGAAGAACGGTGATCGTGACATTCATGGCATTCACGCATGGTGCCAATCGCCTCACTACATGACTCACAGTGTTGAGCGGTCTCTTTCATGTCTCAAGCTTCAGGTGCATGCATCAGGTAGCAGTTGAAGCCTTTCGCTTTCTGACCCAGCTGGTTTGGCTTGGTGTGTCTGGCTCATTGTGCCTCCTCAACCATGCCATTTTTAACTTCGCCCTCTTCATTTCGGGCTCTGCTTGTGGCTCCTTGACCGCCTTTGCTCTTGGATTTTGGCTGTGCTTGAGGGCCTCTCTGGCCACTCGCCTGTCTGCATGCGTGGGAGCGCTTTGGGCATATTCTTTGAGCTCATGAGAAGAGTACGCTTGCTGACACGCTTGACACGTGGCAGAGAGCCGTGGGCCGTGGCTTGGATCATCGCTTTGAGGACGCTCCACAGACGGTCCCGTTGAGTGGGATTTCATTAGCTGCGGCAATGCCAATGCCAGGCCCACGAGCGATTTGCCGGCAGGGCTTGGATCGCTGGTCGCCGGGCTCGCGCTACTTTGTCGGTACACCCAAATGTTTGCGAGGCTAGCGTCTAGATCGTCCTTCGTTCGGGTTGGTGCTGCTGCTGGGTGCTTCAAGATCTTCAAGCCGGTGCCCAAGTTCGAGGATTCAGTCTCCCATTCCTTCCCATCCACTGGTGAGGGAAAAGTCTATTGCTTGGCTATTTGGCTGCAGGGTGTCGTTCCCTGATCCGGCTCCACAGGCACAGTGACCGTGTTGCCAGCAAGAACCCCCCAGCACCAGGAGGACAAGGAAGGACAAGAGAAGAAGCAAGAGAAAAATACAAGGTTGGCCGGCCAGCAGGACAACTGCAAGCACGGGAGGGTGAGAAAAGGACTAGAGGAGGACACGGGGTTGGCCAGCGCGGCCAGAGGACTACACCAAAACTGCAAGCGCCAAGACCAGCTCTTGTTGCCCAACTCAGAGCCCCAATTGTGCCGGCTGCCAGCATAAGCCCCAAACAGTGTCAGCTTTATTTTTCAGCGTCAGCCCCTCGTTTTCTAATGTTGGTGGGAACATTTGCAAGTAGCTGTGTGGGAAACAAAAAAGATGAAACACAAAGGTCCTGATGCCTGGTCACAATCCGAGGATGATATCAATGGTGAGATGCTGCATCACTGTGGCATTCAGAGCCACACGAAAACACACGTGGACAAGGCGGCGCAGAAAGAAAAACAGCGGCGTGGCCAAGCAAGGGACAAGGCCAGACAAACAAGGCCTGGACACAGAGTTCAGGGTAAGAGGGAACCCCAACAACAGACTGTTTTGGTGAAAGGGGCCCGGGACCTTTTTCCGAGAGTCCTGGCAGCTCTGCGGCGAAGGATGCCATAGAGGGTGCCATAGCACTGCGGCCACTCCAAAAAAAGACCAGGTCTGTCAGAAACTTTTTGAGTTCGACCTCTGCCAGCAGGTTTGGAGAATGCCCCCCTGTCCACACGGTTTGATTCTGGGAGTGACATTGGCCAACCTCAGGGGCAAGAGTTTCAACGTAGCCGGGTGGAGCAAGCGGTGCAGCGTGGCTCTTGTCACCTCACGAAGATCCCCCATTAGAATTGTTATGTTTCAGGCTCGACCGCCATCGGCGAACCCAAGACTGAAAGTTTTTGTTCCTTTGTACTTTGTGCCCGCCCGGTGAAGGAAATCGATTTGACCAGGGCGCGACTGAGTATTCCTTGCCTGGTGAAATCGCAGTCGCAGCCCATGTTCCCACGCGAGCTCATGTTCTACTTTCCCTCAGAAATCTTCTGCCGCAAAAGGGGGCCCCGCGCAATACACTTTTGAGTCCGGAGTCCTGAGCCGCCGACTTCGTGGGCCAGCGATCAGTTTCCCCGTGTTTTTGCCGTATTTTCTGCTGGCGCCGGGTGGTTTCACAAGCCTCTCTGAAAAACTCTTTTCCCGTTGCGAAGCCTGGGATCTTTTAAGCGGTGAGATGTGGTTCACGCGAAGAGGATTTGACAAGGCGTTTCGCTCTGAGATCCCGCCACTTTCAATTTCATCTGCGGACCTCGTAGCAAGGCCCTGGTAAGAAAGCGCTTTCGGTAGCTGTGGGAGACCTTCCATGTTCCCCTAGGCAGTGTGGCTTTGATTACTGTAATTGCTGCTTCAAGCAGAAGCAGGAAGGCCTGTCGTTGGAGCAATTGTTTTTCGGCGTATCGGCGCCGCACCGATATCCCCCCAGCCCCGGATATCGGCGTATCGGCGTATCGGCGCAGCTCAGAAAAAACCCGCCATGCCACCACGCTGATAAGTTATACTACATTCCGGTAGTCTTACTGCCGTTCGGACTGGTCACACATGAAAGAGACGAGTCCGTGCGTCAAGGCCCCTTCTTTCTGCAGCCGTTCGACCAACACCAACACAGCAAGGCCGAGACGAGGCATGAGGCATAGAAAAGCTTGCCAGGGAAGAGCCAGATGATGACTGCGAGGTTCTTCGAGCAACCAGCCACAGGCAAGACCCCAAGCCTTGCGGAAGACGGGCGCGTTCATGCCCTATTGCCTGCAATGGCATTGATCGGTTCCGCATACTGGTTGCGCGGCCGTCCATCCTGGTATATGTACAACTCACGTCCTCACCTACGATATCCGGGGCTGGGGGGATATCGGTGCGGCGCCGATACGCCGATATCCGGGGCTCGGGGGATATCGGTGCGGCGCCGATACGCGGATATCCGGGGCTGGGGGGATATCGACGCGGCACCGATACGCCGATATCCAGGGCTGGGGGGATATCGGTGTATCGGTGCGGCGCAGGGGCTGGGGGATATCGGTGTATACACCGATCGGTGCGGCGCAGGGGCTGGCGAGATATTTGTGTGTCAGTATGTCGGCGCGGCGCAGGGGCTGGCGAGATATCGGCGTATCGGTGCGGTGGAGGGGGCTGTCGGTGTATCGGTGTGTCGGTGCGGCGGAGGGGGCTGGTGATATATGTGAGTATCGGTGTATCGGTGCGGCGCAGGACATGGCGAGATAGCGTTGTATCGGGTGTATCGGCGCGGCGCAGGAGCTGTTGGGATATCGGCGGAATATCTATGTTTGGGTGCGGCGCAGGGGCTGGGGGATATCGGTGTATCGGTGCGGGAAGGGACCCACATGGAACCTAAAAGAGATTGAGTTGTCCAAGTAGAGGAAAATGGCAGTGGTGTTCCTTTCAGGCCCATCTCTTCAGCTTCCATGTGGACCATCTTCCCCGGTGTATGCTTGTCAGTCTGTGAAGGAGTTTGAATGCCGGGTTTCGACGCATCACCTTCACAACTACTCACAAGTTGACCATCCCAGCATAACAAATATGCGTCCTTGTTGTTCCAAGACAATCTCAGTCGTGGGAAGATTGGACCTACCAAAACTATAATAACGATTTTTTGCTGAAGGGTGTATAGTTAAGCCCCAACCTAATCCGCTCCCTGAGCTAGAGCAGAACAATGTGAACCCAGGCAACTAACCCAAACAAATATGACATTTTTGCCGGGCACCTCAGTTTGTGGAACATGCCGGACTCCCGGACTCACGGGCAAACAGCGTCTACCGTGGCGCAGAAACTTTTTTTCCCGCATACGTGCTGCTCTTCCACAGCTGTAACCGTATGGCGCCTGTGTCATCTGCACGGGCACGACTCACCCAACTTGACCGCGAGAACACCAGACTCCACAGCCAATTCTTGAGGGAAAAAATTGGTGAGAGGTAGTCTCCGAGGGGTGCCCAGGATAAAAATGAGAACGAACAACGACGACAATAATCCCTGCAACATCTAACAACAACAATCAATACAACATCAACAACAACCATCAATGCAACAGGTCCAATAGGTCAAAACACGCAACCGTTCGTGTAACACAAGACTAACAAAAAAACGTAAATCACTGGACTCCGGAGGCCTTTAAGGCCTTGTATATAGATGTCTGGACTTTCTGGTCCATTTTGAACTTTTGGGCAGTGTGTGTGAACTATTTGCGCTGAACTGCGCGTGATGATTATTTCCCTCGGCTTGGAACAGTACGTTTGTCAAATGGAACGCTCTGCAGTAGGCTCGGAACGCTCATCAGGTCGATCCAATGCGGCCTGGCAGATTGAACAGCATGAAAAGCACCCTCTTTTCAAAGGGGCGGGGCAAGGGACACGTGTCATGTGTAAAACCATGCATGGGGATCACAGTCATGATATGTTGAATTACGTTATATATATATATGTACAAAGTGTGTATATATATATACTTTTTATTTTTGACTTACATATTGATATGTTGCGTTGCCCTGTGGAGCACATGACAAATGAACTGCACCGTCAAAGACGGTTGGAGTTGGACCCCCGATTTCACAGTTCACTGAGCAGTTAACTGCCTTTCTCGCCTGCCTTTTCATCCCCAACACAAGTACCCGATGCCATCCGGTACCCAGTCCTTGGCACTGTACAATCTCCCGGCTGCCTCCACTT